CTGCAAAAAAAGTTGATTTTGAAAAAAAATGCCATATTCACATCCACCAACATCTAGAGAGTGTTCCCAGAAAGTTTCGTTAGTTTACACTGCATAGTTAATTTTTATAAATTATTTTCGGTCCACCAATGCTAAAGAAAAGGAAGGGGTTGGAGCACTTTGAATGCATTTTTCTCCATTGCACTTTTCGGCATAAATTCCACTTTAGGAAAACTGTTGTTTTCCTATTACATAGTTGAGGATTATTCTTCAGTGGTTTTCTGGGACAGAACTTTGTGAGGAACATGCCTGGCTGGTTAGTTTTTCTACTTTAAGAGTTAAAAAAAAAAAAAAAAAAACTACAGTTAAAAAAATGTGCCATGACAAAAAACTTTTTATCTTCTTATGGAGTTTTACCTATGAAAAGCAATGCAATATAGCAAAATAACTAGCTAGGTATGTGCTATGGGTATTCCTACGACTACATTACACCTAAAAATCACCATCCTTTATTTTATTTTAAAACAATAGCTTTTTTCTAAGCAAACACATTGACTTCCATATTGTAACATTCGTAACAAGTTTCAGAATTGACATAGGAGAATGAAATGTGGCAGGGATGGTCTTGCCACTCATATAAACTTCCACCGCAAATTTGATTGAAATCAAGCAAGCGGTACAGAAGTTGACTTTTCTGGGTAGTGTCCCCCTTAACACAAAACTTTTTAAAATTTATTTTGGTGGCAGAGACGACTGATTTTGGTGGCAGACAATGGAAAACAGCAATAAAAGGAGACAGAGGTGGTAACCAGATGAAATGGCGTCGACTATTCTGCTCCGCATTACTGAGACTGAAAGGGAATATTCGCTCATATTTGTTTCGTGACAAATTAATACCTTTCTAGATTTTTGCTTTTTGGCTAACAGGGTGAAATAATTCTTGACATGAAATTATCAGTTAAGAATGCAATCAGAGACTCATGTACAACTGACATATAAATAGGCTGGCAAATATTATGAACAAACTAAGCAATGAACTTGACTAATGTAGTAGTTTGGGCTAGTTGGTATTTCATGAATTAAAATTAAAACAGCGCAAGGACACGAACAAGAACCGTGACTGTGCCTTGTTTGTCTACCTTCTTGTTCTTGTCCGTGTCCTTGCGCTGTTCTAATTTTTAAACTAAGCAAGCATATGCACTCCTAAAAGAATGAAAATACAAAATAAAATGCAAAATTTCATGTAAAGGGTACTTTTTTTCATTGGCGGCTCATTAGTTTGCTATTTAGGAAAAAAAATTCTATGTAAAGTCTATTCATCAACAAAGCCTGAAACTTTCACTCAAATCGGCAGATAGCACAGGCTACGAAATAGAAGACAGTCAATGATGACAGGGTAACACTTGACCTTTTCATGCCCGAGAAAGGTACACTGTCAGATCCCATTATATTAGCCCAGGCACGTAGCCAGGATTTCGTTTCGGGGGGGGGGGGGGGGGGGGGGGGGGGGGGGGGCCCGCCCATGACAAAATGCTGTATGAGGGGGAGGGGGAGGTCCCAGCAAAACGGAAGATTTCGGGGGGGGGGGCGGGCCCGGGCCCCATGGGCCTCCTCCCCCCTGGCTACGTGCCTGTATTAGCCTATGCCAGCAGTAGACAAAACCCTTGTTATTCTCACAAATGTTAAGACGTAGCAGCGAAAAGCTGCTGCATCAGTGACGACGAAAACATTTTCAAATGTGCCGACGTCGAAACTGAGGAGGATCGTGTTCACGACTTTACCGAGGGAAGTTGTTTTTTCTAGCAAATAAATATTTCGGTAACCTAAGCCAATTGAAGGGTAATCAAACAGGTCATTAAAAAATTATGAGAATGCCAATGAATAAATGTTACATTTTATTACTGACTGTAGGAGCTTCGTGAAGTGGACCATCAATTTTGTTTTTAAGTCCCTTCAGAACTGAATATAACGAATATTGCCGGTACCAAATACCATGCTTCATAACGTCTTCCAGGGCTGTAAAAACTAACTGCAATGTTATTCCGCTCCACAAGCCCTTGCTGCCCCTTATCAAACTTCTCCCCTGCCAGCAGTATCTTGATGCCAGACAAGTGTATATTACTGTTAATAACAGATTTGATGCCTACAATCTGATCATATTCGCAGTCTTCAAACCTAAATGCACAAACAAATTCAAACTTTGTTGCCTACGCAGCAATAGCCCAATTCAGAGCTGATCTTTTGCTGACAGCTGCCATCAACCTTTTCCTCTCATGCATTGTAACCTTTACGCTGACAACTTCATCTTGAGCGCTCTCCTGGCTCTTGTTTCTCGGCGTGCGGTGTGCGCCAGACTGTAACCCCAAGACCTTTTTGCAATTTCCACTGGCTCGTCGCTCCTATTTCCTTGGGTACTTCAGAACCGAAATTACTAACTGTGGTCATTATGTTACGGTTATTATTATTAGAAAGAGTTTCCGAAGGAGGATGAGGTGCACAGGGCTTATCTTTAGTTGTTTGAAGTTTACACACAAGCATACTAGCACTGTGCAAGTTCAGAAATAGAGGCAGATAATGTATTTCCTTCTCTTTTTCAAAAAACCGGCTTAAAAAATCGTGGCACAACCCCTGCAGTGGCCTGGTGCGACAGCACTGGAAGTCAACGAAATCAAAAGTTGTTTACGAAATTCTACAAAGAGATATTACTCAGATGGAGCGTTTCGTAAGAAAAGGAAGAAACAGACAGAAGCCTGTTTGTGGAAATCACAATTCTTATTTTAGTGTCAATTATGAAACGACAGGGCGGCAAGCTTGGTTTACCTATTCTGCCAACTTTTAGATAACAAAACAACAAAGAGGGTTGAATTCGAAGCTTAGGACAGATGATATGCTATTGTTTCAAATTTCCAGAACGTAAACAGATGATAAAAGGAAGCACAAACCACTGAAACTGGTTCAGTTTATATATAACGTTAACAAAAATTTGGCAATGAAATGTATCTCCAGGATATCGTTTCTCTTTGAACTGCCTGCGTGAATTTTCAAAGCTTTGAGTACAATCGTTTCTCTAGAAGTGAGGAACGTGCTGTCTGAGAACAGAACAAGAAGATAAAAAGTAGCTTGCACAACACAGGTGCTGCTGCAATATGCTTGCCTCAGATGGGTCGTTCACACGTAGTGAAGAAGTAAAGACAAACAGAAATATTTCTAAACTGCTTGCATGGAGGTGTTCTCATCACTGCGCGCAGGTGCAACATGACGTCGGACACGTATTCACAAAATGTACGAGTAATGTTGTCGTGGATAGCGTAAATCTCATCTTCACTTGATTCCTACGTAAAGTATGCCACGTCTCGTCCAGTACCGTTATCTTTTGTCGAGTTTCGTTTTCCGCACCAATTCGCAGCTGTGGTGTGACGTGCCTGGCCGTGAATAACATGAGTTTAAACTGAATCGGCATGTCGAGTCAGGCGCCTGGAATGAATGGAGCGCTCTTTTTTATTCCTGCGCCGACAACAGATATGCGCTACGCAGCACAAGTTTTTTTTTTTTTGTTTTTGTTTTTAAACAAAGGTTACGGCTGAGGTGCGGCACGGAGGTGGGGCTAGCTGTTAGTAAGCAGACTGAATCAGCACCGCGCTCCGAGTCAGGTGCGTAAAATGAATGAAGCGCCGTCTTTCTTATTTTTAATCTTCGACAATGGATACGCTGTACGGAACAGAGCGTAGGACAAAGGTTACGCTTGAGGTGTGGCGCGCGCTCGACTGGCGTTCCGTGCGTACTTATGCGGTGCACGGTTATCGCAAATGCGAACCGGGTGATTGTTTGAATGACAACACCGAATGCGGCGAGGCGGCGCGGACCAGTGGCGCGTTCGGAAACGGTCGGTTTCGGGCTCTTTACCTCCTTGGGCTTTCGCTTCTCGGTGCTGACGGGCCAAGAAAGGGCGGTCCAGAAAAGACGGCGAGTGGAGGGGGGGGCGAAGAAAAAGAAAACAAAACGCTGAGCAGAAGGAGGATAGTCGACCGCGGCCGCGAGCCAGGGCCAAGCGGAGTTGGGGCCACGGAGCTGACAAGTCCAGTCGACCCTTCCCACCCGATTGAGAGGCATTCGCGCTGTTGAACAAATGGATTACGCTGCGCCAAAGCACGCCTCCGTTCCCAAATTTATTTTTACGATAAAAAAAAAAAAAGGAAAGAATCAAAATACGCGAGAATGAACGTTAGCGAAGCTACCGACCATTTTCCGGAAAAGGAAAGGAGGAACAAAAAAAAAATATAGTGATCCGGAAAAGCAAACAAACGTGAAGTATCCAAAGGGATTATTTCCTCCCTCATATGTTTGGTTTCTTTCTTTTTTTTCTTTTTATATTTAAGCAAAAGAAGGAGGTTGGGGGGGGGGGGGGGGGGGGGGGGGTGTTATTCGCGAGTGAGAAAAACTGCAAGTGCATGCACCTGCAGAGGGGCTTGGACGTGGGCTGGACCTTGGACACGGCCCAGCGTCTAAAAGCTGCGTAAAACAAAAAGAAAAAAGACGAAGGAAAAAAAAAACAGTGCGCGCCCCTATGGTGCGTGTTTTTTTGTTTTTTAATTTTTTTTTTTTTTTTTTAGTAGCGACGGTTGTGGTGAACGACGACGGAAACATGCGCGTGGGCTCTCAGCACGAGTGCACACGGACTCGCAGTTCGTCGCGAACTCCACCGGAGTCCACTACCGGAAGACGAGCAGGCGGACCCATCGCAGCGGACACACTTCGCGAGCTCTCGTCTCATCCTGAGCTCCACCGATTCCCGAATAAACACAGCCCGAGCGAAGCTTCATAATGAATTCCTCCTTCTTTAGAAGGACAAAAACACCCAGGGTGCGACGGTGGAAGAACTAAATCAAACTAGTCAAGTAACGGGGGATTCAAAAAAAAAAAACGTATCGCCGATCGTCCGACTCCGGGAGTGCGACGCACCCGTCGCAGTGCGCGGCGGCGGTGGCGACTTCCGCGCCCGCGACCAAGAGGGGACCGCTCACCTGGGATCCGGTAGGACGATCTTCTTGCTGGCCCGCGCCGCCGGGGTGGACTTGCTTTTTTCCATGGCCATGAGGTAGCTGACATCGGCCAGCACGGCTTCGAGGTCGGCCATTTTGACGCGTAGGCCTAAGCGGTTTCAGTCCACCGAGTTGGTACTCCCCACAGCAGCACGGCGGACCGGGCAAGGCCGCTGCGGAGCGCAACGGCGGGGAGCCGCGTACGCTGCGGCTCAGGGCGACGGCGAGCCCGTGCCTCGCTGGGACGCCCTCATAACGCGACCAGGGGGTGGGGGACAACTGCGCCAAGCGACGGCCCCACACCGATGTTACCGATGACGTTCGCCGAAACCCTCAAGAACTCGCGATATTTATTTTTATTTTTTTATTTTTTCCTCGTCCACGGCGGACCGACGGAGGGATGCACACGAGTAAGCGAGCGAGACGCGCTTCTCACAGTCGACACCAGGAGGCGACACCGAATGCGCTGCGTTCGTAGGCGTCTGCTTTCGTTTTCCGGCAGGAGTTCCGGTTGTTGTCGTTCGGTCGTTGTTCCGTTTGCGAGGACGGGAGCTCGCGGACGGTTGAAGTCAATCCGCCGTGTGCTTCGCACCGCTTTCTTCCGTCTGGTGCGCCCACACATTGGAACGCTTGGGGTGCAGGTGAACTGTATTCCATCAATATTCTCCTGGACTGGTGCGTTAATGCGTAGTCACAAGGACCTGTTTGGTGTTGTAATTTATTTCCACAAAACGCTAGACTATTCCGTCTTATTTTTTTTTTTTTTTTATTTTTTTAAGAAATTGTGATTAGGGACGCGCGGATCGATTTTTACTCGAGAAGTTTAAAACCCACACAAAAGGTATTGTGCTTTTTTGTTAAGTTCTTGATGGGAATAAAATCTCCCGAAAGGTGCTTTGCCAGCAGGGACGTTTCCCCGCATTACTCTGTCGCGAAGAGGGAAAGCAAGCTTTCAGGGTGAAACCACGCGCATAAAAACGCAAACGCTACCGTTGCACTTGCGAAACTAGGAAGTTCAGCTAATTGACTAAAACGAATACTGTTATTGGGCGATTTGAACGCCTTGGCTAGACAAACGATTGGAAATTGAGAAATATTTGATGATACAGTCACACAACACTAAAGATTGATACTTTTTTTTTTATTTCTCCCGAAATGTGTTGAATTAACTAGACACATCCAGTCGGTGCACTTTCTAATTTAACTGTTTCGTATTTAACTCTTATTAATTTGCGGTTTGGAAAGAGGGGCCGTCACCCTAGCCATACTTACCAAATTTTATCAGTTAAAACCCACGGCTAAACAAATTCTAAAAAAATATAAATTTCCGTGGTGGAATTTGTTGGTCGAGTACATGTCTATTGTGAAACGGCCGGCGCGGAGCGCTTTTATTGTTGCTGTATTTAATTGAATTGTTTAGTCGAGCGAAATTGCACATGCTAGGTGGTGGAGCGCTCAAAATTCGGCAAATCTACTAGAGTTGAGCTGGCGCCGCTTAATAAACAATACTGAATCATCTGCTAGATTTACAATGCATGTACCTTTCTTGCGCGTTGCATTTCCAGAGGCAGTTACTACGCATACGTACCTAAAAACCTTACATGATTGCACATGCATCTAATCATGCAAGGTTTTTACATTTAATGAGTGCACATGGAGCTATACACTTACCAGTCAACTTTGTTTTTGTACAAATACATAATGCGTACAAAGAGAGGAAGCATTTCAGCGCTATGTACTCATTTGTCTGATCAATCAATTAACTGTCCTGGAGATTAACAGAGGTCTACAGGTCGACTGAACTTGAGCATATCCAATATTTTGCGACAATGTTGCCTAAATGCAGCAGACTACACTTCCTTACCACCCATATCAAAACTTTTTTTTTTTTTTTTTTAACGTTTCAAATAACGGGGGGGGGGAAGAGGCTCGAGGTACACCTAAGCACTTTTTATGAGTTGTGAATGAAATAGCATGCATGTCATTCTTCCGCTCCCTTATTTCGTCTGCGGCGTATTTGCGTCGACAGCAGAGTGCACGCTCGGACCTTGGACGCTTTGTGGAGTTACCAGTGCGGACACTCAGCGCCATGGGGTGGTGGTCGTTGAAACTGACACGCAGTGGCCAATGGGAGCCTCGTTCCTGGAAAGTATGACACGCACCAGCCAATGGAACTGAAGCTTCACTCCGCTCCTTTGGGATCGGGGAAACTAGGTGTCGTTTGGCTAGACTTTTCGTGTGATTTCAAAGCTGAGAGCCAGCTTCACTTTGAGGAAGGAGTTTAGGTGCTGTCTGGCACGGCTTCAAAGTTGACGACGTCGGCTCGCTCCATAGGACAGTTAATGCTTTAGCATTCACGATTTTGTCACCAGTATGTTCCAGTAAATTGTGCAAATGCCGAGAAATCCGGGTTTCGTTTGCCCTCGTTCCCGTCTTCAGTTTCTGAACATCTGCAAAAAGTGGAGCATTAAAACGTCGAGTTCAATAGAACTACCGGGGTGATGGACAAGATGAGGACGTCGGGAAGGAGCTTCAGCTGCGACGAAGCTGGGGCGTTTCTTGAGCCTCGAGCGTGCACCCAAAGCACGACAAAAGGCAACGTGCACGTGCTAGGGCGTTTGGAAGAGGCCCTGCCACGTTGCAGTACATCCCAAGTTTCTTCGGGTTCTTGTTGGAGCAAGCCAAGCCTCAGATGCACCACCTCGGCCCAAAAAAACAAACGCCACTCGGGGCTACGGACGCCACTCGTATGATTTTATTGGTAATTCGAAAAACAGAGAAAAAAACAGATGAGGTTACACTATTCGCATGAATACACTTTGCATCGGACACTAATGGTTTTCCTTCGCTGCCAGCTAGACAGAAGGTAGCTGCCTGCCAAGCTTGCGCCAACGACGCTCCGTCCGTAGCTTACGACCAATCGCAACGTTTCCCTCGTTCAATCCCAACCCTCCTTCTCCACAATTTGCATCCTGTGCAGTCAATGCCTCCTGGTCCCTGCAAAAACACCACCACGCTGCAAAAAAAAAAAAAGAAAGAAAGATTTTTTTGTTTTTTGGCGGCTTGGCCTTCTATCTACCTGGCAGCCACATCGACAAACAGGTGATTATACACGTACCGATTACTTTTTTTTCTCCTAAAAATTCCTGACACACGCACATCAACAGCGTTAAAAACTACGAGATATGGGGGGACATAACCAGCCTACCGTCTTTAAGAAGAGAGTTGCGCGTTGCCAGGCGGCGCTCTGCGGACCACCTCTCCTTTTCTTTTTTTTTTACTTTTTCGCACTGTTTTGCTTTTTTTTTTGTGCCGTTTTCAATTCCGTCGTAGTCGTCATTCTCTCTGCCTCCGGGAGGGTTTCTCGAAAGGGGGATGTTAAAAACGCACTTGGGCAAAACGACAGGAACGTTACTGCGCACTGTTCGAGAGACGAGATGGTGCCAAAAGCAGAGGAGCAAACGAGAGATGGGGTGGCAAAAGCTGATGAACGCACTAGAACAGAATGAAAAGGGACATTCTAACATTTTTTTCTCTTGAAATCAAAAAAAAAAAAGGAAGGAGCAATGCCTGGAGGGTGGTAGTGGAGACGGGGAAGGAGGGGGGCCATTATGAGGATGCGCTTGCACATTCACACATGATTGAAGGTCTGCAGGTACCCGAGAAAGAAAACAAGAAAAACCTCGCATACCATGGTAAAGTGGTAAAACGCAGCGCATGATGGACGTACTTGCACAACGCTACCAGCTACTGGTAAAAAAAAATGGACGCCCTTTTTCCCTTTTCCTCCTCCGCTAGATGGAACACTCGACACCGCTCTCCGAAAAAGGTACGTCGAGAAACGATGGTAACAAACGTCAGAGTGGCTCGTAGAAAGCGGGGCTATCTGAAACACCCAATTGTCCAAATTCATCGACGCGAGAATTCGAGGCTTTGCCCAAGAACAGTTGCGTCCAGATGCAGACGAGGTCTCTCAAAGGCGATTTGCCACTAACCTGCTCGCCGAATAAATCGGAAACCAAATTTCCATAGACCTCGAGCACACTTCGAAAGCGACTTACGGCCTGATAACCCTAAACGCCCAAGATCCCACGAGACTTGCTCCAACTGGCCATAAAAACTTATCGACGCGAGTAAAAAACAATTAAAACGAGAGCTTTACACTGGAGCTCGAGGAGATCGCTCGTCGAGAACGCAACGGCAGGAACTACGGTGCCGGAGAGGCGGCAACGTGCAACACTGTACCGATCACTTGAGTCACATGCACACATGCGGATGATCAAAAACTAGAGGGGAAAAAAAAATGTACCGGCAATTAAAAGGAAATTTAACAAGATACTATGGAGCAAAAATACAGTAACTGGTGTCAGGTGTAAAGACGGTGTCAAGTCCAGTTGCCAGACAGAGAGAGTCAACAATTCGCTTCAAAAGGGGCCAGCAACAAAAAAGGTGTCGACTGAAGTCTAGCTTTTCCTAGAAGGAAAACGGAGGGGTGAACAAAGAAAACTGGTTTTCAAATAGAGGACAAAAGAAAAAAAGAAGTAAACCCAGAAGGAGGCAGACGCTCGAAAGGATTCCAAACCTAGCCAAAACAAAAGCGGCTGGGCCGTCCCTCGCGAAACTGCCGCAGAACTCCGGAGGAACCGTTGCAATGAGATGAGAGATGGAATGATAGATGCGTACATGAAGAAACCACAACTGATTTTTTTTCTCTCTTTACAAGGACGTAGCAAAATGGGAAAAGGAGGGGAGAGGCGGCACTTCTAGGAAGTGGGGGATGGAAGAAAAAACCGGGATGCGGCGGAGGGACCCGCAGATGAGAGAGCGAGGTGGGGAGCGAAGCGCAGAGAGAAGAAACCGGAGCAACACGCACTTTGCTGGCACTGTATGTACACCCTCGGCAGACGCCCGCCTTCCCCCCCACTTTGCGGGGGAGGGGCCAAATGAACGGGACGAAGGGGAGGAGGGGCACACAGAGGCCACCTCCTGCCCCCTTCCCTATAAATAAAAAGCCAAAACGAAAAAAAAAACCCAAAAACACAGACAGCAGTTTAAAAAGTTATGTACACCACACACGAGGTGACAAGCGACGACACGCCACCAACCACGCGGGGGTTGTTGTTGTTTTCTCAGACCGGGAAGGAGAGAGAAGCAAGTCGTAAAGAGAGACCCGAATGCAGTCGAGTCCGGGGAGGGGGGTTCGCTCGTTGCTGCCGCACAACTTTCTTTCCGTTTTGTGAGGGGGCACGCGCAGTGCCCCGCTGAACGCCGCACCAAATCCCGTTTTTTTGCCTGGGGCACCGACAACCGAAGTTTCCCCCCCACCACCACCAGAGGGCGCCCGCACCGCACAGCACTGTCGACCGTCCACGATGTCCCTCGCAGACTCCGGCGTGCCGCACGTCGACCGAGCCACCTGGGAAGGGGAGGGCTCCGGCTCGGGCCTGCTCCATAAACCCGACAAATCGCAAAGAAAAAAACCGCACAATCCGCATTGTTCCGCTCCCAATAGTCAATAGTTTCCCGCTTCTTTTTGCCGCCGGTCTTTTCGTGATTCCTTCCGCAATCCGACTACACGAGGTGGGGCTGCGCATCCCCACCGTTTCCAATACGAGTCCCGATGCGAGCAAACCGCCCCTCCGCCGTGCGAGAAACAAAACGTGCCCACCGCTGCGACGACAGTGTTCACGTTTCTTTGTGAGTCCTCGGTTTGAAGTTTTTTAGTAGCTGTTGCAGCTGTCGACGACTATGTTTTTCGGTGGCAGGCCGGGAGACGGGTGGCGGGAAGCCACGCGACGACTCGGCGGGTGGTGCGCTCGGCATGAGGCCGAGCGTCGGCCCGGGTTAGCCGGATCTTGTTCTTCTCACGGGTGGTGGGAAGCGCTGGGGGGCCGAAGAAGGGGTCTGTGCAGGGGCCAGACCACCGGGGAAGGGCAGAGGAACTCTGGTAGGTGCCACGCGGGACCAACGACACTTCGACGCAAGCCCACGTGCTATCGAGCCTTGGACATGGCTACGCTAAACAGGGTCGGGTTAGGGGCTTCAATCAAACACAAAGGGACGACCTTGCGTCTCAGAAAAGGTAATTTACGTGGCAACTGCGTCCAATCAAAACAAAATGGATGACAACTACAGTGGAAGAAAAACAAAAAAAGCAGTGCACGTTGGTGGGACTGGGGACAGCCCGTACCGGGCGGCTTTCCAAGCTGTGGAAGCACACACACACACCCTGCAGACAGTGTCTTGCATAGTAAGTCGGGGGCCAAGCCACAATCTTCACAGTCAGACAGCTACAGTCCTAATGCCTTTCCAGTACGCTAATTTTCATTCTACGGGTTTCTGTACTCTTCTTTTGTATACACATATATATACCTAGCTCCCCGAGGTTCGGTGAAAAAAAAATGTGCCACAGACCTCTCCCTCCTTCGAGTGGTGCATCCGAGACCACACGCAAAACAATTTGGCGATCGAAAAAAAAAAGGCAACAGGTCAGGACAGACATGCGACGTCAGATCGTACAAAGTTCTCTCAATGCATCGACTGGTACACCAGAAACAACACGTCCTACGCACGCACACACCAGGCAAGACAAAAAACAAATGCGAACATAGCTAGAGCGTACAAATGTGCATCCCAACGTGGGGGAAAAACAAAGACAAGTTTTAGACGGCCGTTTTACAAAAAAAAAAAAAAAAGAGAGGCCCCAAAGAGAGAGAAAAAGGAAAAAAAAAAACAAGAGGCTCGAGAAAATACAGAGCACACGCCAGGGATGAGGGCAGTGCAGGAATGCCCTGGGCGAACCAAACGCTCTGGCCGTGCACCTACACACACACACACTCTCACGGGGGATGCAGCTGCCCTCCAAGAAAAAACACGCTCTCGTCTGTGCTGGTGTCTCGTCTGCAACTGTGTGTGTGTCTGTCTTCGCCGGGGGACGCGCCGCCGTGCCCACAGAGAGTCCAACGCACCGGCTCGGCAGTGTGGGGCGGCGCGCCCCGTCACCCTCGGCCACCCCGCTGGGTCCCTGGGGACGACCTCAACGCTCCGTGATCTTCAGTCGTTCACGCGTTTCCATCTACAGACGTATGAATCGGGGGAAGGGGGATCGGGGACGAAAAAAAGGGGTTTCTTAGCAGTCCTGCGCGTCAGTCGCTCGACCACGTCGACGTAGGGCCGGCCTCTTCGTCTTCCTCGTGCGAAGCCATCCGTTGGCGAACCCGGGGGCGAGGTCCGGGTTGCCGCCGGGTGTGGCTCGGGGCTCTGGGGGCGGGGTGGTGGGGCAGGGGGGGGTGGGGACACCAACCGGTCCGTCTGTGTCTCACTCACTTCACAAACACCCAAAGGAAAACACGGTTCCATCTGTACGTGTCTTGTGGTCTGCATGTCTGCGTGCACTCGGGAACGGGCGGGGGAGAGACAGAAAGAAAGCGGAGGAGCAATTGGGAGTGTGAATGGTATGGGATCATACTGCGGCACGCACGTGAAGGGGGCCACATTGGAGTGCCACCGAGAGAAACTGGGGGATGCGACAAAGGGGCCTTTGGTAGAATTCCTCGTGCACAGATCTCGTCAACATTTTGAAATTTTTAAGTATGTAATACAAGAAAATGGGGACTATTTAGTTTGAAATGACAGAAAGTATGACAAAAATTACATCAATCAAATATTTTTCGAGCAAAAACAAATACAGGAAGGGCACTGAAGTAATGCTTAACACCAACATTTAAAATTTACTGAAAAGCGCGGTGAGAAACAGCCGACAAAGAGGATCAGCGGCAGAAACACAGCCGGCGGAAAGAAAGAAAGCGAGGATACGACATGCACTCTCACGCACTCTGCAAACTGCATCCCCCACAATGACCATAAACAACACTTTCCAAAAGAAATGCATAAAAAAAACGTACTACATTCACGTGTCACTTGACAACAACGCTGCGACGACACCCGCGTTCACGGGCGACGTCGACGAGAGTCTGCTCTTACAGAAAAAAAAACAAAAAAACCTCCTTGGGTTTCTCATCAATTCCGCTCTTCATCTTAGCCACTCAGCTTCAGTCACTTATTTTTGCGTCTCCTGCTTCATCTAGGTCCGAGTCCTTGTGGGAGAGTATTCTTCGTCTTCGCAGATATCGCGGATCAAGCCGTACCATGCAACAACAATCCCTCCTGCGGATGTGCTGCTCTCTTGCAAGAAGTTGCCTCGACGTCGGGAGTAAAGAGGGTGGAGAAGGGGAAGAAAGGGGAGAGGGTGTCGCCCGAAGGAGCCGACGACGACGTCGCGACGCTAAGCGTGGCCTCTCTCTCTCATTTGGGAGGCGACACACGGGAGGAGCAGACGGGGGCAGAGAAGCGTGTCCCCCAGACTCTTTCTTAAGACTTTCAAGTTCTACCCTCGTTCCAAAACCCACTTCCCAAGTAGGGCAACTAACGCGATCCTGTAACTAGACTTCACCCCTCCAAACATCCACTAACGATTATCCCGCCCCAAATCTAAACGAATGGGCGACGGCGTCACCGCCTCGCAATGTTTTTGTTAGGCCGACCTGGCGGCTTAGTTTGCACCCTTCAAACAGCTGTAGTTACAAAAAACCTCCTCTTCTCTCCCCAAAGGCACTGACCAACAACTCCCAATGCCCGTAAAAACAAAAGGTGCCTCTGGCGCGCACGGGCAAGGCGGCGAGGAAACGGGGAAAGAACCGCAACGGTGAAGGAAAAATCCTGCACCGAGGAGGTCGGATGGGGGGAATGTCACCGGAGAGAGAAAAAAAACAAAAAGACCTTGCCCAAGAGAACGAGGGGAAGGCATGAGGAGAGAGAGAGAGAGTGAGAGGGAGGGGAGGTACGAAGAAGGAACGAGCCACCGTGCACTCCGGGAGAGGCGACGTTGCGCAGGCTGGTCGTGGACCGCCTCAGCGTCGCGAGCTCCATGATCTTTCGTGCGATGGCCGCAAAACCCTCGTCCCGGAGCAGGTCCGGCCAAAGTCATGCGGCACGATGCCACATCCGACCGAGGATCCTCCAATGAAAAGCGCGGTGCCAGAGGGGCCCGGTCATCCCGTACGACTAGGTCGTAGCCGTCGTACGAAGAAGTTCCCCCGGACGGATGCCACGTAGGCCGAGCGACCGCTCCCGACGTTTCAAACGAGGTCGAGAGAGAGAGAAAGGAAACGAAAGGACTGCGAGAGAGCGACCGAGAGGTAGGCTGAGACAGCGAGGTAGTTGAATCCGAAAACACGGGAGTGCCGCCGGCGCCACCGGCCGGCGGGTGCGACGCGGGCACCCCCTTGCGGGTGCCCGCCTCTTCTTTTTCTCTGCTCGTTTTTGTTGCTCTTGGAAAGGGTTTACACTCGAACGCGAGCCAGTGCGGTTACAAACGCAGTTTTCTCCTGGCGCCCGGCTACAAGACAGCTGAACCGGCGCGGAGTCCCCAGGGCGACGACGACGCGTCGGCCGACGACATTGGGCGGGTTCGGGGAAGGGGAGTGGGGGCCGGGGGTGCTGGGGTCTCGTGGTACGGGAAGGCGGCCTGGCCACGCGGGGGTCCCAGCCGCACCTGCAACACCGGAAGGGACCTCAGGGGGGGGTACTTTTCTCACCCACTCCGCCCGCCAGTCCCAAAAAAGTCGCGGCATCAACCGTTCAATAACAAAGCACTATCCACGCGAGAGAGGAATCGCGGGGATTTCTGCCCGGACCGAAAACGTCAAACTTTTGTGTTGCGACGTCGGCTTTGTCATGGCAGAGGCAAGGGGGAATTGTGCCCGGGGGCATATTCCTCCCTTGGCAGATCATTTTCATTTGAACGACATTCTGTCGTTAAACGCTTTGGTGTCAAGTGTAATAGAAACCACCAAATTCGTCTGCTATGGCGTCATGAGTGAACCGCTAAATTAGACTGTAAACACAGACATCCTTCCCTTCGGCACCTCGTCAATGCGATAGACAAGGCTGAGGAGGGAATTGCACCCGCAGCCGAAGTCACGCGGGTCCCTCCGCTGATTCCTTCTATGTGTGAATACCGCTTTATGGGGAATGTTTCCCCCGTCAAAAACTGCCCTTCATTTCAATTGTTGCGATGCGATTGGTCCTTTGGAGCAACGTTTGGGGCAGCGAATGTGACCTATGCGGAGAACCGTGTACATACTTCATTCTCATGCATTCAGCTGTAAATACTAGGATGAAGTTTATCTGTTGCCTGTCCAGCTAAAAGAGAATGCCCTGCCTCCCTCACTTATGTGCAACCATTCACTAAGCTTCCATGTCATAGCAAGGCAGTTTAATTGTTCCAAGCACTCATCCGCCTGGTTAGCTCTGCCTAAAAGCACCCCATTGCAGAAGCTACTTTTGAGAAGCAATAGATGAAGTACATAAAACGAGCCCATGCAAATGGCAATATGAGTTATGAAATCAACGGTAAACTAAGTAGAAATATACTAGAATAATTTTGAGTGTTAAGTTGAATGTCTTGTCACTAAAGATATGTTATTCATATATAAAAAAAAATGAATCATTCATCACTTAATTATGTGCACCTACATGTAGACAAAGTTAAGATATGAAACCATAATGTAGGTGATAAATATGCTTTCGAAATAAAAAAAAACACATCAAAATTTTCTAAGGGCATCTCCAAGCTTCCAGTTGTTGGCCACTAAAGCTCGTTAATTTTATGAAAATAGTACCTGTTGACAATGCCCTCTAACAGTCAAAGGTGTACACTAGAGTCAACAAATATTTCCAGAGTATCGAAACCCCCAAGTTTCGTTTCAAGGCCCGTTCACATACTTGCTACCGACCACGAACAAGAAAAACAAGATTGGTTTTTAAGCCCCTTTGACAGCGTACGACCAGATGCTGTGGAGCAGGTCCTACGCCATCGTAAAAGGCTTAAAAAGCGGTCGTGTCTCTCTCAATTGTACTCGGATGCACATGGGTGAACAAGCCTTCCGACTGAGTCGCAGAACAGCAGTCACGATCCCCAATACTGGGCTGCCCTGTGCGGTCAAAGCGAAGTGCGTACAGTGTGGCATTCGCTCTTGAGCGAGTCCTTCAGTCCAAGTTCCTGGCCTGCGGCGACGCTGTTTTTTTTCTTTATTGAAGTTCTCTCCTCCGTTTTGAGCAGTAAGTGACTTGCTCCCCACTTACTTGTCTTTCTTTATTGCCTCAAAACACATCAAGTTGAGTGTTAGGTATAGCAAGTGAAGCGTAGAGTCGCCACGAAACACATCGAAGTTGAGTGTTAGGTTTAGCATCTGAAGCATAGAGTTTGAAACACAGCACCAGCATAACCAGAGTGAGCAAACGAGCCGGCAATCTTCTTTGGCGAACCGGATCAGCGGCTCCTTGATATAAAAAAAAGAAAGCTAGAGAAAACAAACGCACCTTCCATCCGGTCCTAACTCCTAACATGCATACCCCCCATAGATGCGGAAACGCAAAAGCATATCATATGTTTTTTTGTTGTTTTGGGCCAATCCACAAAATCGCCGACAGGTAACTTCCGCCACGAGCTAAACCAGCCAATCAGAACTGGATTTTGCGGGATTGGCTTCCGGACTGAATGGAATTCGGTGCTCTGGGTAAATATTAAACTTGACGTAAATATTAAACTTGTAGGAAAGCCCAGCTATACTTTGTCAAGGGGATTTAGAAATCCCTATACACAGGTATCCTTCCCTAAAACTCAAATGAACAAAAACAAAAATTCACACAGCTTGTCAGGACGTTACAGTCTAACATGCTCTTTCGTAAAGGCCACAGTGTTGACTGCAAAGTAAAAATGAAAACCGGATTAATGTCAACATTCACCAGGTTTCATTTTTCTATGGTTGAGTGTTTTGATGTCAAATTTTACGCAAAAGACGCAACACTTGGTACAAGCAGTGCAGACCGGAGTGTCACTTCTCCACAGTGCCCCAGTACCCAAGGAGAAGCACACTCGACGAGGCTGACTAGCCCAGCAAACAAATGAGACTATTGCAAAACTTCAGAGCACTGTCATTGTCAAAACTGAACACAGTTTAAAAAAATTGAGTCTAGAAAAATCTTTTTTTTTTTGGTACGTCTGCACAACGATCTAGCATTGCAGTGGGGGTCCGTGTTGTCAGTTTGACAAGGCAAAAAACGCAATTGCTCACACAATGTTGGTGCAAACTCCTTCAGTTTTGGTTAAATGTAGCATGCTGCACCAAGGTGAGCAGCCTGGCACAAATTGTGCAGAAATCTCAATCTGTGCTTGCATACGTGCTCCCTACGAGCGATCCCAACTGCGGACAGGTCCCCCGCTCTATTCGTCTCTCATTTAGGGGGTGTGCCCCGAGTCATACTCCCCTTTTTCAACTCCTGGAGTCCCCTCTACCAGTCTCATACCCCTAATGGCTCAAGAGCGACCCCTCTTCCGTCCCCTGAAAGCCCGGGCCGATCGCATCCCGCACCACCCTTTAGGACCTTTCCACCCATCAGAAGAGGAGAGCTGTCATCGAGTACTGGACGAAACAGCTGCACGTTTGAACGCAAACTTCGAGTCAGGTGAAAAAGAAATAAGCCTGTAGCAGACGACGCGTAGCCTCAGCAGTGCTCCGCGCCGGCAGTGTTGCGTCAAAATGGCGGTCGTCTCCTCTTTACTCCCTTCTTTCTTTCTTGCTCCTTCGGTGCTCTCCTCCCTTTCCTTCACTTTTCTCCTCTCCGGCGCCTTTGTCGCCACACCCACTGGCCAAACTCTCCAAATATACGGCTCTGGACTACCCTAAACAAACCTTAAAATTTCAGACTGTTTGTTTTTTCCTGTTCTAAAATAACTTCCAGACAAATGTGATGTCAATACCACCCAGCCTCAAATGAAGTTACTAGCAAAAGTTAACGATTAAGCTTTTCTTTTTTAACATTTCTCGTCTTTTGTGGATGTTGCAAACCAACAAGAGGTAAAAAGGAAGCACTCCACTGAAATATCAGTCAATCGTCAACAGTCAATCAATACAGACAGTCAATACTGCCTTCTATGTGCCACTTCTATAGACAGTCAATACTGCCTTCTGTGTGCCACTAGCCCCACAATACTGACAACACACTGCCAGTGCAATGAAGTTTAGCTACACCAGCCAGGTTTGAAATACACTCAAAACTATAAATATGAGAGGAACGGCACCTCACAAACAGAATGAAAGCTACAAAGTGCTCATACCTCGCATGTCGCCCAGAACAGGAATGCAGGTGCTACAGTGAAGCACAAGCAATTGCCAATTACAAGACGGATGCTTCCACATACATTTTCTCAATAGCCCTATTAAAAACCCTTTTAGAACAGCTGAAAGCCCTTCATCTGAAGTCAAAGGGGAGCACATCAAAAGTGTGGGAAAGACAGTGCAGCTCTACATAATGCCTCATTTGTGCAAGCACTTGTAGAAGAAAAGTTTTGTTGTTATTTTTCTTAGGTTCACACACTTCTCCTTTCTACAATACTGCACAGCATTTTGAGGTGAGCTATAAACAACCGTGGGCCTGGCCCATGCGCATAATAAGACTTCAACGAAACCAAACACGACGAAGCATATCGAGCTACGTTTTTAGCAAACAATGGATGGATGGATGGATGGTAATGGTAACGGGCGGCAGCTTGCGCCACCTAGCCTAACATTTCGTCATCTTTTTTTTTTTTCATTTTTTTTTTAATTTGTATCAATTTTGTTATTAACAACCCCCCCCCCCCTCTTTTAAATTGAATTTTTCGCTTATTTTTATTTATTTTTTATCCTTCCCTAGATCTCTTTCACCAATCTTCCAATCTCCTCTTAGTTACCGCAATTCTTTCCCTATCCATTCGTCCATCCTTGTCCGGAAAACCCAGTGCCCCCTCCGAATCCATAGTAATCCCCCAAGAGGGTGGGACAAAGCCTTGTGCACCTTAAAATTACATGTCCTAAAGTTTCCCTTTCGCGGTTGCGTAACTCGCACAGTGTCTACTTCCTGGAATTTAGCCCTACACGTTTTCGTTCGTAGCACCCCCGTTCTAGCTTCAAACAACAAAGAGCTCCCCACTGAATTATCATACAGCTGTTCCTTCTTTATTTCTTGTTTTTGTGCCCTGTATATTGTTAAAGCTGATTTTCCCTGCATTCTCTCTTCCCACAATTTCCTCTCTGTTTCCTTTACTCCCTTTTCTACTGATATGCTCTGATCGGCTCCATCTCGTTGAATGTATTTAAAGCTCAGCTTGCGGGTTCGGTTTGTCCACTTAGTGTTTAGACTTTTCATATATAGATACTTGTACACTTTCGCTGCTCACCGTGTACCCTCAATTTCAGCTAGTCTTTGTTCAAATTTTACTTTACTGATTGCTTCTCTACTCTCGAAAGATGCCCAACCCATATCCCCCTGTACTCCCTCATTTGGTGTATTCCCATGTGCCCCCAATGCCAACCTGCCCACACTCCTTTGCTGCATCTCTATACCTGCCTGGATTGCTGACCTCATACACAATACTGCATTCCCAAGTGACAGTCCTGGCACCATGACTCCCTTCCATACACCCCTAACGACTTCATATCTATTATAGTT